CAATTCATCCAGCAGCTACCCTTGAACTCTGCAGCGTACCAACCTTTAGGCACGAAAACAATCTGTTCAACCACAACCCGATGCTCTCTCAAGTCTCTCTCCAGAAATTTACTATGACTAACAGGCAACTACTCCTGCCCTCCCCCTTGCACACTACAGTATATGCTGCCTAGTTATGCCCTGATCCAAAAGCCAGATGAAACAGGAATCCAGTGTACATTGCCAGCACTGCCTGCCTCTTACATTAAGACCTTCACTACAGGCATCCACCTAACATTGCAGATAACAGACACTAATGATTTAACAGCAGTGTGGATGAAGCCTAGCCCACTGTGTTGATTCTTTATTAGAAGGTATTAGATCAAGACAGCACTGTCAAGTACAGGGAAGAGTTAGAATACCACCCTTGGGAATCCCTTTAAGCCTTTACAAATGCTGGACAGCCCAGTGCAGACAGCAAAGGCTTCACAGAGTTTCCAAAGTCTGCATTTTCTCAGCTCAAAGTACATCAAAATAAAATCTGCAAAAGGGGCTCACAATGTGGCAACCCTACCCATTAATTCACGCTGTCCAGCTCTGACAGCAGCATAATAAGAAGCAAGGGTTGTGAAATACAGAACTAGAGGTATGGAAGGTCCTGAATGCAATGCACTTTCAGTAGTGCATTGCACAAAACCCAGCAATTAAATTTATCTCGGTCAACAAAGTTCAGCAATATACCATAAAAGCAAAAAACACAGTAATACTGGAATTAAAACCACTTCAGCACACAGGTGAAAAAATAAACAAAACTTAATATAGACTTGTTATATAGTAACGTCACCACCTTTGAGCAGCTACAGAAATAAACCTCTGGACATCACTTTTGGTACACAGCATCCTTCAGCTGCAAACCAGTGAACCCTGAAGCAAGTCTTCTGGGGAAGCACTGTCATAAGCTTACCTTGCTTATAAGAACTCTCCCCGGGTATCCGCCATGGTCACCTGACAAATGCTGGCCTGAAGCTTCCTTCAGCCTAGCCAAACATGGAGGTGTTTGAGCTCTTGTGCTCTATGACAGAATTTTTGCATTGTCATCAAGAAATGGTTAAAGATAACAAGTATCGAGATGGGAAAAATGAACGCAGTAAGTCCTCAGATGCTTTGCAATGCTAATTAGTCCAGGCAGCACCATTCCAATGTACCATAACACTTGTGGTATCCACACTAATCCTCAACAAGCCAGTTCTGTTGTTTCTGCACAACACTGTAAAGTGCCAAGCAGATATGCCAGGTATTTCAGCAATAATCTCATTTAACATCTACAATCAATCTGATTAGGTAGTTGAAAGTATTAAGCAGAACACGTTCATATTGTTAAAAATGCCTTAATTCTTTACTTACTTTGTTAAGTTCATATTAAGAAGCAGAATAATTAAATCAAATATGATTTTATACTATTCACAAGCTATTAGTTACGTCTTAAGAGAGATTGCCCTATTAGCTGTGTACCCAAGCAATGAAAACCTAGCAATAGAATTCTCAGTAAAAAGTTTAGAACAGCTTGATTTCGTATTTTGAATTGGAATTCCACCACTTTTAAACTCTCTGGATGCTTAAATTAGTCAGATATATTTAAAATACTGACTTTACAGAAACAGAAGGTATTACTCTGATGTACGAAGAAGGTAGTAGACCCTAAGATGCTAGATGTAATTTAAAACCACTCGAGGGTACTTTACAGTAGCAAGAAACCACATCTAGTTCTGAACATCAGTCACAACAGTTCGAGCTAACCTCATAATACTGAAGGATGCTTATCTGCATCACACTCGAAATGAATCATTTTGTCATCCACACTCCTAACCTAAACCCAGGCATTTAAGAGTTTACATTGTTGCTATACTAATCACTCTCTTGAAGCGTTGGAATAAATACAGCTCGTTCTCCTCACTCCTTACCTTCCAAAAATCTGGAAAAAGATGACACAGGCCAATCTAGGGCATCCTACAGCACAGCTTTAGGACAAAATCTAATCAAGCATGGCTGTTCACTCTTGTGTTTTATGAGAGGGAGAATTTCCTTTACAACACAAAGACTGGCATGCTGCTGTCAGAAGGTGGTAAAAGCAATAGGGATGAGTGCACTAGAAAAAATCCGTACATAAAACAGAGTAAAGCACAGCCTTTACAACATAAAGCATTCCTAAACATCACCACACCTACCACCACACAGCCACTGAATATGATCTATTTGAAAAAAAATGACTACTTGCACTGCTACAGACCATCTCCAGCTCTGAATGAGAATGCAGAGAGCACAGTCCTACTTCAGAGCATGCAGATCTTTCACCGAAAGTACCACTGCAGCCTGGAAGAGGGCAGAGATTACCTTTCCTAGTCAGTTACCAAAAGACAACACAATAACGCTGTGAGTTACTGCTTATCACTTGGAAATTTCAGCCTGTTGTAGAACATTCTGCAGAGAACAATGCTCATGGCAGAGTAAGCTCTGACATTCATGCATAATATAAGCATGAGAGCATCTATGATCTAGGCCTCTTCCTATAACCTATGTCCAAATCAGACTGCAACCAAAGCTTGTAAGGATCACATTTTTTTTGACAGTTGCATACACCAGTCTGACACCACTGAAGATGCTCTGTCAATAGACCATCGCAGTTATGGAAGCGATGCCAAGTTAACACCAGGCAACAAATCAGGAACATAAAGGATCCAGAAGAAACTTCCATAGGAATTTGTTCCCACCCCAGTCTTTTCAGTACATTTTTATTTGAACAGCCAAATAATAGACCAGCCTGGCTTCAGGAAAAATAAGTTAAACTCACCAGTAGTCAGGTATTACTGCAGAAGACAGACACCTAAAACCGCTCCATCACTGACAATATTTTTATCATTTCAATCACATAAGTACTTCATAAAAAAATTTCTAACACCAAACAAAACTGTTTTTAAATACATACTTGTCCAAGATTCACCTTGGGTAACAGAACTCAAAGTTTAAGGCAGAAACTGCTTCTCTCATTTAAGTCTATGGTCTCAACTTCCATGCTCTACTTCAGCACTAGTTCCCTGCTACTCTAAGGAAAGATGGAACTATGGGATCACACACGCTATAGTTACTGGTGTCACACTCCTAGCATCAGGTCTCACTGTAGTAATAAAGATCCTTGCAGAAGATCAGGAAACACAGCTTCCACTTTCAAAGATATACAGCCAAGAAATATCATTAACACATTAGCAAAATGACAACCTTTATTATGGAACTGAATAGCACAACTGAAGCTCGGCTAAACAATTTCCTTGTGTATGGATTCTATATCAATTTATAAGCGAAAAGTGACATAACCTTTATTAAAGGAAAACCAACAGAAGACAACAGAGCAGAGCATAAAAGATAAGGATACGTGATTGGCATAGGTGGTACTGCCTAACAGCTAGGGGACACAGAACCTGCAGTGCCTGGATCAGTTCCCAGGTTTGCCCTAGACCTGCTGGGTGACCTCGGGCAACTCCCTCATCCATCTGCCTGGAGATCTACCTCAGTGACACTGACTTATCTTACACAGAAAAACTAAAATGTTAGCTCAGGGTTCTACTGCATCTCTATGGAAATAAAACAAAAATTCAGATACTAAAAATTTAAGACACTATTGGAATTTTAGACACACATTTTATCAGTACAGGACCCAAAGCTCCTAGCATATGACACCTCTTAAACGTCCAGATCTCAGCTTCCTCTAAGCAATTTTCATTTTCAGTGTCAGTTTGGAATTAAAAAGCAGTAGTCACAAGTCTTGTCCTCCCCAGGAGAGGCTATGGTTTGCAAAACCAGAACTTTAAAACATCTCTTAACACTTCTGGATAACTTTAATGTACTCAACGCCCAACTACCACCGAAAAGAGAAGAGGCACTGTCCTTAAATCTCTTGCTTTAATTTCTCCAGCTCTGAAAGGGTACGCTGTTATCTTTATCTGTTTCCTTCTACAAATATGCAGTGCCTTTACCCCACAAGCATCCAAGGGTCTTAGATCTCAGGAGTTACAAGAACCTATTTTTGAAATTACATCAGAAATCCGCGGTGGACAATCAATGCAGTTAGCACTTTTTCCATGAATAAAATAACCTTAACATTAGAAAGCAACATTTCCCCTTCACTGAGTGCAATTTGACAGCTGAAATACAGAAATCTCATGGAGCATGCCAGAGCTGCTTTGTTTAAGTTTAGTCCCTCCTACATGCCGATCCAACCAAAGTGAATACTCAGCCTTACTAACAACTCATTTATATACGAAAATTATGGCCACAAACTAGGATAAACATCATAAAACTGTTTTCTTTAGAAAGCCAAAATTTCAGTTCGTATACCTGCTGCCTCAACTTATTGTAGAGCTAGAACACTTCCCTCAAAAATGTTCTAAGACCACATTGACTTTCATGCTTATTTCAGTCAGAATTGGGCACTTCCCTTTCAAACGATGTTCCTAACACTCCCCAAGGTAACCAGTCCGCCACAGCTTAAGCAGAGGCATTTAAAAATTAGCGCAAGGACGTTTTTCGAGCTGCTCTGAACTGAAGCCTTCCACATTCCCTTTACAATCTGAATTGACCCCTACCAGCTTTGACAAGCATTCCCCCACCCATCTTTGCTTTAATTATTGTAGATGCCGTTTGATAGTGGCCTGACAACTTCACCTCTCAACCTACTACAAAACAAGGCCTAACCTCCTCTATCTATGGGTTCCCAGTCGCTGCCTGCAT